CGTGCGGTGGCTTTGCAGGCCTCGGCTCTCAGATTTTCCAAACTCTCCCGCCAAAAAACTCAACTCTTCCCGGTGAGAAATCTACATCGCAACCCTTGTTGCCTTCTACCCTCAGTTGACTTTCACAGTATCGAAAGGCATATAATACACATTGCATGTTCCGATAGAGATCTTAATTCAAAAATTGGCATTATTTCATTATTTTTTCTGAGGCTCTGCACATAATTTTATTGCTGCCATTCGTAAAATTGCCACACGCACGTTTTCCTCTGGTCTGCAAAGTGAAATCTTCGAGAGTGTGTAATTCGGCCATTCCTGACTTGAGCGCCGGCATTCTATCGATTTATCGCATAACAAGTCACTTTCCCAGTGAATTTCTCAGCATGGAGGAAACCACACCTCTAATGGAACTTGATTAATTCGTCTTGTTAAGTGGGCGTCCTGAATGGAAAATTGTGCAATAATGTGAGACTTTTTTTTCCCTTTTTTTCCTTCCACGCTCTTCACAAACCATACAATTTCCACCAATAAAGCCAAAAAGGGGGAAAATTTTGTTGGTGAATTAGTTTTATTGGAGTGCCAAAGAGCTCCAACTTCCTCCCACGGAAAACAAACCGCAACGGAGGGAAAAGAGCTTTTCCTCAAAACATTGCCAATATGAGTGTGAGGCATAATTTCTCTGCGGATGCCAATATGAAATTCATCATCAAAGGAATAAGCTTGAATCTCATTGAGCTTCAATGGGGATTTTGTAATGCTTCCCAATCGATTCAGTGAGTTTTTATGCTCTCTTTCTCTCTCTCTCTCACTCACTCGAGGCTATATGCAAAGTGAGCAATTTCCCGTCCAAGCTGGAATACAAGGGCACAATTTCACATGTTTCATGTTGGAGGAAAATATATATTCCTTCATCCATATCCTCGTCACTCAACCATGCAAATTGTCAACTTATTGCGCTACTTTTTATAGATATACACTAATAAACATTACATTATTTAGAGGCATAATTGAACAAATGTATTCGTGTAATAAAAATCAAATTATCCGTCGTTGAGCAACATTTCATTTGTGTGCCGCAGTGAAACTTCAACAAGGACTCCACGAGTATTAAATTGCTTGTATGATTTCTTTTCGATTGCGGCGCACGTGACGCTTAGGAAACTCCTTGACTTTATCTCTTGACTCAATTTTCTTTTTAAATCAACTTTTCCACTCGCCATAAATCAGCGAAAAGTGAAATTATTGACATGACAGGACGGTAAATAAACAAATTAAATTGCGGAGTTGTGATATAAATCTCTGTCAAATTTTGCAAGATCCAATTGAAATGACTTCCCAAGAAGTGGGAAATTTAATAAGGCAAGATCGGAGATTATTCCAATGTGAAGAGGGTGCGAGACATTCAGACTTTGCTCAGACTTTTGATATAGACGTAAATGGTGGAGAGAAAAATCGCTTTTCGGTGAAATAATACAAGGAGAGTTTGTATCAATTCGCGCGAGTCACGCCATAATTACGGAACTTGCATAGGAAAAAAGCATGGAGAAGAGCAATAAATAATGTATTGTCACGAACGATACTTTTTTTCTACTTCTTCTTCTTCTCCCTTTGACTAAGAGGGTGGTTTGGAGAGAATATCGATAAAGTACCATAAAATTATAAAGACATTTAATTCACACTGATATTTATGATGTCTCACCCTTTTTCCGCGCCACAAAAGTCCCATTTTTTCCACCGTCTCTCTTTCGCCTCATTATTTGTACTAATCACGAGATTACGGAATAAATTCATACACCAATTACAATCGTGAGAGTCCCTGTGTACGATCGGGTGGGAGGGGAGAGGCAAAGAAGCCGCGGCATTGATAGTAAATCGCTTACCGCCAATAATCGTTAACTGGCACGGAGTGGCATAGCAAATGGTAATAACACACAGTGAGGAGACACCAAATATCCCCAAACTATTTTTAATTGTTAGATCGATAGGGAGTTTTGTGTTTCAAAATTGCCACCCCCGCGCGGCGCGCCCCTCGACTTTTTCGGTGTGTGTTTGAGTGCGTTTTCCGTGCCCGCGCGCGGCTTCGTGATAATTTTCCCTAGGCATTTCTGTTCATCGCCCAACATGTCGTCTGGCAAGGATATTCCATAAGTCGTGCCAACTTCCAATTTTAATTGCGAAATTTGTTTTCGCGGAATTACCAAATTAGGAAAACAACAAACAACGGCAAATTGCTCACGGCATTCCATTTCCTTCTGCACATTTCGCCATGGCATTTTTCACCAACTCCCACCAACTCCCACCAACTCGCCAAAAATGCCACCCCATCTCATTTGTCGGTCGCCAAAAACTTCAGCGCACATGAAGAAAATTGCTGCACGACTCAAGAGATGCCCCTCGAGAGTGTGTTTTTGGTGTCGGCTTGAGAACAGCAAATTGATTAAACATGTGCACAGAGGAAAGGGTTGGACGGCGAATGGGGAGGGAGATTGATTAAGTATGTCAAATGAATTAAGCGTGGAGAATCATCAATTAGGGCTCCGTTGAGTGGGTGAGAAAATTGCTTCATTTAGCAGTGACCGAACAACCCTTAAGCGAACCCCTTTTCGAAGACGCCGTTTTCCCACACAAAACCATCGATGCACTGCATTTGTGGTCATTTTGTATCACCTGGAAACCACACTAAATATCGCGGGAGAGATTTCTGGGAAGTGAAAATACATTTGTGAAAAATACTTTGAAATACTACGAAAAGTAGACAGAATCTCAGCTAAATTCAATTGCTATCAATTGACCTGAGAATTTAATAGAAAAAATCAGCAAATTTATCATAAATTGAAGGTAAAAAATTTAGTTAAACGTTTATTTGGTTTCAGACTCGGAATTTGGCTCATTTTTTAAAGCAAAATTTTGCTAAATTTCGTGCTTTTTCCGTTGTTTCAATACGCCATATTTCATATCTCATGCAATTTTCACTCTCTGTCTATGTGGTAAATCATTTTGGGGTTTATCCATTTTTATTTTGAAAAAAAAGCAGAGACCACCCCTTACTAAGCCACCACTGAACAGAAACGGGGTGGTTTGCGAACTGCAGAATGAGTGTGACGGCATTCTAAGCTTAGGCATTGTGTGCAATGCGAATCACAATGGTTTCGGGGCGAAAAGCCATGAAAAGGGGTGATGGATTGAGAATTCGTGGCGGTAAATCGTCGAGAGGGTAACAAAAGACGAGTTTTGGGGTGTTGATCGTTGGAGAATGTGAGAAATTGTGTGTGTGTGTGCATTGAAGAAATAAATTGCATTTTGATTTCCACCAATTTGTTGTGCATTGAATGTTGTTGAACTGGCGGTAAAACACACATAATTGCATTTTCCGTGAAGATTTATTGTGGTGGAAAACCTGTTACACATATTCACAAATTGGATAAAAATCACTGTGTGTGCCGTCTTAATGTTGAAATCAGAGGCAGAGATGTGGAATTTGAGGGTGTGAGTTTGTCTCCAATTTGTTGGCGGACTCTCCCTTTTATCGTGTCACTTGTCTGATAACTTTTGACTCAATTTGTTTGATGGTTTAAGCTCATTTGCCGCGACAGCTGATCTAATACACAAATCCGATGGGAGAAAAGAACCATCTCAGATGTCTTAAGCACTGCTCAGAGGGAAATTCTCCCAGATTTTTCTGTCTCGCCGTCGAAAATGTCTTACACAAAACACAGCATCAGCCGCAAGTTTAATTTTGCTTCAAGAGGGAACAAATCGAATTTCTTATATGGGAAAAATATACATACACATAGAAGATATACACTCTCTCACTCCTTGGCTTTCTTCTTTCCGCCATACATATGTATATAGTAAAATTGGGAACGAGGAAAATGACATGAAAAATTGCAGAAAATTCCCTTGCCGGCGCTCCAAATTGAGTTTCGCCTTTCGGCAAGTGAATTGGGCGAGAAAGAAAGGAGTTTAATATTGTCACGATGATTTTTCCAGCGAGAAAACTTGAAAAATACTTTCACGACACGAATCTAATTCCCGTATCGCGTCTTTGTCACCTTCACACCCTCCTTTTCATGCGCCTTACAACACCGGAATTTCTCTACAGAGTCGAGACATTTTCATACACTTTTAATGGCATTTTAATATCACAGTTTGAGAAAGTGAGGAAATTGCATTTTATATTTCCGAACGGATCTCTGGTATTTCCTCCTTTCTTTTCCCGAAGATTTCTCACCGTTTTTTTTCTTCCCCAAAATTGCAATCAATTGATTTTCCTTTCGGCACACAAACTCCAAACCAAAAATCCCACAAGTGCATAATATTCCATCGCCCAAATTTGCGGCTGTGGGAAATTGAATGCTTTCACAAGCAGTGCAAATTGTATGTATGTGATTTTCACAGTGGCATGTCTCTCTTGCTTCGTGCAAGTAACTGAATTTATTTGTTAAAGATATATTGAGTTTTCCTGTGAGCGCATTTGCATAAATCAGACAAAATCGTAAACGATTTATACGTAAAGGTTAGACATTGTGCTGTCCCCATGTATTTTCCACATACATGACAACATTTTTCATAATAGCGCGCATACATTTTATTCATACAAACTCATGGAATATCTTTTATTATCTGGTACGCATTCTCCCTTAACAAATTCAACTATCTTTTACTGGATTATATTGAAGAGTCGCGATCTAATATATCGTACAATATAATGAACAATATTCCCTCAATTGCCACTAAGAACAAAAATACACGACAAATGTACGCAATTCATGGCATATTGCATATATAGACTCTCCCCAGCAATTCTCCTTTCCCACAAAGAGGAAAAAAGAATCACATGGATCATATATCGTGATTTGACAAATCATTTTTATTGACTAAACATCATTTTGGCTTCAATACTATTTATTATTCTATCATTTGGATATTCCTCTTGATAGAACAATTGCTGTGAGATTAGATTGCATGCCAGCGGGGAGTTTTGTGGGCTTTTCACTCACCTGCACGCGGACTTCTGGCAAGTTCACCTTCATGGCGAGCTCCTCGCGCGAGTACACGTCCGGATAGTGGCTCTTCTCGAACGCCCTCTCCAGCTCGTGCAACTGGTAAGTCGTGAACGTGGTGCGGTTCCTTCGATGTTTCTTCTTCGAGCACGAGTCATCTTGAGCTGGACAGAAGATTGGCAATTAAATGAGGAACGTTAAACTATGCAGAAATTACATTGCAAGGATTTAAATTCTCTTCAAAGATTTGTATTGGGTAAATTAAGGCTATTTTTCATCCGAAAAAAGTCTTTTTGTAGGTTAAATTCAAATGAATATTCAAGAAAAGGATTTCTGCTGTTACACTCACCTTCCTCGTCGCTTCCTGAGGTGATCTTCTCGCCCTGTTCGCTGGAGTTCGTCCTGTTGAGATCGTCACTGGAGGCGTAATTCACGTTGGAGTTGGGCCTCGAGTCGTCATTGACTCTGTTCGCGTCATCGACAATGATGGAGTTTCGCATATCCGTGGATCCCACGCGATACTCCTCGCCCATCATCTGGTCGCCCTGCATGGCCTCGAAGTCCCTCCCGAAAGTCTTCATGTACTCTGGGCCGTCGTGACCCAGCGAGACCATCTTCTTGGCCTCGCCGTTGCTGTCCAGATCCTCGTAGTGCTTCCGCTTGGGCGAGAGATCCTTCGCGGGCTCGGCGCCCGGCGAGAGCGCTTCGTCGTAGTCCTCGGGGCAGGGATTCTGGCGCGTGAGGATCTTGCAGAAGGGTCTGCTGCCGGGATACACCTCGTCGAAGCCGCCGTCCACCGGGCTGGCGTCCATCGAGGCGGTCTTGAGATTTGCTGAGTAATTGAGCTGCTGCGGCTGAAGATGGTACTTATCGACATCGAGGAAATTGAACGAGCCACTCAAGTTGTTTCTGGCCAGCATTTGATTGTCAGCTCCCTTTATGTGATTTAATGGTGTATATCGCAGATTAGGATTCTCCGTTGCCTCACCTACAAAAGGCCAATTAGGACAGGTGATTCTCGGTAAGCTCACCCGCAAGTGGAATTCCGCAGCAATTTGCGGCACAGGAGTGACATTCTAATTTAGCAAACCATAAGTGCTCAATCCTTAACATATTGCGTGATTTTAAACACCTTTTCCTTTGCCCGCGCGCCAGCACATGTACTCGATATCTCAATATTATTCACACGTAACGAGCATTTTGCATGTTAATTTGTTACTTTAATGAGTATGAGACCGTCACAATTGCGTTCATTTTAATTGAAAGTGATTTCTGGTGTGGGGATATTTTTCTCACACTCAGCTTAAGAAGGAGTCTTGTAAGATGGATTTGAAAATTATTCTTTTGACACACTTATCGATTTCTCAATCACGATCATTGTCATAGAATTACACCGAATGCTTCTCACTCTCCGGTGGACTGTTTTTGCCGCGAGGGACCGTCAAAGTCTCTCTCTTTTTTTGTGCCTTAGACCTCGGAGGATCAGATGGGGTCAATCAAGTGGGCGTCAAGAACTCCATTAACTTCTCTAAATCATCTCTCTTTTCATTCACTGCGTTGAATATTCATAAGTCGGGAGCGTGAGTGTGTAATCCCATCGCGGGAACATGTGTTCCACTCTCCTGAAAAGTGTCCACAGAGATTTTTCCGCCATAAATTCTCAAGCGCGCGCAGAGAAAATCCCGTAGATTCACAGGAAAACTCGCCCGATAATCCCAGAATGTCTCTGAAGTCGTGATTTATCGCCCAACACACACACTTTGTCACGATGGTTGCAGCGACGAATGTTGGCAAACAGTTGAAATCGATTCAATTCCATCAACGTCTGGAATATGATTTAATTACCATTCCTAATTAGAAATGGTAATTACACACCTTCCCTCGGACGCGGCCCCCATTCAAGGTACAAATTGACGAGACAAACATCTCACAACACCATCTACAAGTCCAGCAACAATGCAAGACGGAGATCTTATCGGCCTGCGCTGCGAAGAATAGAGCGATCTTGGGGCATTGATGGTGTATCGGCTACTTAATGCTATTCACCGGAGAGAGAACATCTGCCAATCAGCCTTATTGATTCAGAGGATGGTCAGACGCGGCCAATTCTCAAATCGACTTTTTTTCCCGCCTCGCTCGCCTCACTTGCTAATGACTCTTCAAATTATTATTAATATAGTTAAGTTAAATCAATCAATAACACTCTCTTAAAGTGTCTGGCATTGTCTTTTCCTATTGCGCTTTTTGCTGTGCGCTGCTCGAACACAGGTTGCCGCGCTGGGTGTGCTCGCAAGACGTTTTGTCTCAGGTTGAGAAATTGAGTGGCTCCGGAAAGCCAATTTCATCCATCAACATTTCAATGAGCTCTGCTGTATGTGCGGATTTCTGATGAGAGGAGAAGTAATTAATATCTGGCGAAGCTTCATTTTTGCCAAGTGATTCGCTTCGTGAAGCACGTAAAGATCGTTACTTAACCGCCATCGTTATGAAATTTTCGATGTGAAGTCTTCGTACAAATGTTTCAAGCACTTCTCATTGATTTTATGCCAAATGGTTAGAAAGAAATGAAGAGTTTGTGCGGAACAAAGGCACCCAAAATTGTATTAAATTGAAAAATTCGGTTTAATTTCAATTTTTGATTTTTGCACTCATCTAATTCCGCAAAATTGGCTCAAACGCAGCCCAAAAGCTCCTTTCTCATGTTAGATAAGCTCACACCCGTCGCTTCGTGTTCGCAAGTGCGGCATATCAATCTGTATCCATATAAACACGACATAGAGGAGGTACGAGAAATCCGAGGGAGACGGATTAAAAGCAGAGTAGGTTGAAATTAAGAATCAATCTACATTCAATTTAATCTCATGTAATTACGCGCTAATAAATCGACTTTCGCCCCAGGGCCGAATCGCCATACATTTCCGCATTGACGCGTCTGTGAGCGCCTGAATGCGTGCCTGTCCGTTCGACATGCCGCCGTTCATTCACTTAAAAAGGTGTTTGCGGTAACGATAATAAGGTGAATGAGCGCCAAAATAGAAAACCATTCTCTTAAGTGTGCTTTAATTATGAAATTAAATTGCCATTAATTACCAATCAATTTTTGAAAGTGGTATAATAATAAAATCTATTCAGAGGCGCAATATTATATTTCAGGATCTTTTTTGTCTTCTCAAAAAACCATCGATGTACGATTGGTAAATAAGAGGAAATTGTTAACTTTTTGCCCCAATCGTGATTATTTAATGTGTCGATTGGACGTGCTTCTTCAGCTGTGCTGATGACGATGAAAATCTCACAGGAAGTGTGATGATAGTCAATTTTCCATTGGTGTTTGCCTTGGTTAACACCTCAAGATCTCATTTATTTGCATCTTATGCAATTGTTGCAATTGTCCCTCGTGTGAGCGAACCTTTGGCAAGCAGTGCAAATGAAAACAATTTGTCTGGACACCAGTATTTGCCATCTTCACCCACATTTCAGCCCTCGAGAGCTCCATCTCGATGCTCCTAATTGCCTGGGATTTAATCACATCACATCAAGGCGTCCCCAAGAATCCCATAATTGGACACACACAGTTCCGCATTGAAGGTGGTGTGAAAGACAATAAATAATCTCAATTGAATTCCTCACTTAATTGAGCAAATTGAGTGACTCTGATTGAATTTCTTCCCTTCCAACAGCACTTACAACAGAGCCAAATGCTAAATGAAATTCAGTGGCAAATAATATATGAGGAAGAAAAAGTAATGTGTGAGGAATCGTAAAAGATCGCGTGTCAAAATACCCATTTTCGCTAAAATGTTGAAATAAAATAAAATCCCCGAGTTAAATCGTTTATGGAAGGGAAATTCGTTGGAGTTAAACGAATGGATTATTATTAGAACTTCGCACATTATGCTAAAGTGAATGGTTCTCTGTATAATTCAATTTATTCTCCTTCTCTTACGCGCGAAATTGTGAGTGTGAGAAAATTGGCGCCCACTCTTTGGCCCAATCAATTCAGACACACATGGAAAATGTATTACAATTTATGTTTATGCTAATGACGCTCAGAGTGAAAAGAAATCCCCTCTTCGGAGGGGGTGAATTGGTGTGGTTGAATATTCAAATATGTGCTCTGACATGACTGGGTAATTAAATAAAATATTTTAGGCATTTCTTTCCGGCGGGCCGGTCATTGGCCAAAAAGGAACACCCGCGAAAGTCCACATTGTGCGATTGTGATCGCACTTAAAGAGGCCTTTCGTGATCACCACCAAATTAATCGGCCAATTATCACTTTCACAGCACTTTTCGCCGCTCTGAAAGGATCACGTTTGAAAGTTTTGCATCACACGGCGCACTTCTTGATGTTTCACCACGATAAGAGCCGTGCAAAAATGCGAGCGAAAATGAAAGCTCCCCGCATTCCAATTGAATGCCCCCTTTTGCCAATTGAGGGACTTGAACTCCGCCGCGAGCGGAAAGGGTGATTTGGGGGTGGAAAAATCGCGTGCCAAATAATTTTCCCGCGAAGATTGATTCTCCAGTGTAAACCGAAAAATGAAATATCATTTGATTCAATCCCACCGAAAGTGGTGTGTATTAAAGTAGAAATTATAGTGCCATTGCGTTCCACCGTCGCAAAGAGGGGTTGTTAGCACTATCAGCGAAATCTTGGCCCACCTGCACACGCCGAATAACCAAATTTACAATTTATATAGACTCAGGTAAATAAGTAGGGCTGGTAATTTCGGTGACATGCTGTAGAAAGTAATTAATGGGGCTTTTCTTTTGCCCAAAAATTTCCTTGGGGGTTAAATGAGGCCTCCATGTTTTGTTTGCGGAAATATCAAATGTTGTGTAAGAGCAAGTCAAATCATTTTCACATATTTCCACTGTTATACAGTAACGGAAAATTCAGCTGATGAAGTATGGAAAAGCACTTTTCTCTTTCAGTAAGCGTCGGTGAGATTCTTCACTGGGAATTCAACTGATTCACATAAATTCAACCAATATTTATAGAGTCTTGTTGCTGGATGAAAAAGGCAAATAAAATAGCGAAAATACTTCTCACCCTCCGCAATAGAATTCCTCCTTAGAAGACAATTTAAATGGCATGCAGAAGGATATTTAGCTCATGGGGTGGAAGTTTTAAGGAAAAGGAATTAATAGAAAAACTTTGTGCTCACCTTTCTGATTGTGGCAGCGCACAGAAGGTGAGATTCATGCAATCAGATAGAGCGCAATAATGATCTCAATTTTAATTTTCCACCCAGGGTGAATATGACATTGAAACTTTCAATTTTCGGCGGGGGACGAAAAGCACGAGATTTGTTAATTAGTTTTGTTGACAACTCCGGCAATAAATTGGCATAATTGGGTGTCTGCGCCATCAACGAGGTGCGACAGTTAATTGAAAGTTTTGTGCATGGAAATGAAAATTGAAATTGAATTGAGGCGAGGCGATAAGATTAGTTTGAAAACTTTTTCGCCACTTTTGCAACAATGACTTTTCATCCTTCTCACACTTTATTATAGTTATGAATCTATTTGGGTGTGCTTTGGAGTCACCTGGCAAACGCAATCGCCAACAGGTGAGTCTCGACACTTCCCGCCATCGCATAATTCACCACTCTCAACTCTTTCATTGATGTTCACGCGTCGTGGAGAAGAAAAAAAACACCTCAATGGAGTCATTAATCACCGGCCCATTGATGACTCTCTCAGCCGCCAACATCCCAAAAGTGCCCCTGAGATGAGCCATCAATCACGATATTGAGCGATGCTCAGCACTTTGAGCGCGAAAATCCGATTAAGGGACTGTCTTTTGAATGGTCAAGCAATTTGCTGGCAGAGTAATTAGTCAGTGGACAATGGACTCACCGCAAGAATCACCATTTCTGGCCGCGTTCAGACCCAGGATGGCGTCAATTGTGTGACGAGGAGTGAGTGTTTGACCGCCGGGAAATTTTCTCGCAGTATCCTTAATGTAAACGCTGTTTTCTGCGTGGAGAAATATGATCAAATTATGCGCATAGAATATCCCCGAAAGAAATCATCTTACACACCTTCTTTAAAGCTATCCTCAATTTTGTCCACTTCAATGTTTCCACTATCCTTGAACGTTTCCATTATTTTCTGCAAATTCCTCGAGTTTCTGGCATTTTCTACCAATTTCTGAAAATCCTCCGCCTCCTGTGCCGTGAACTTCTTCCTCGCAATCAGTTTGTCCACTAAACACTGAAATGTTTGCTTCTGCACATCCGAAAGTGGTTTTATGTCCATAATTCACCACGACAAAAGTGCACAATTCGCCTCAAGGATTCAGCACACTCTCGGGAAATTCACTGTCATTTCTCCATCTCTCTTCGCGCACTCGGCAAATCACACCAACTTCACGTACAAGACTTCCGTGTTCCCTGGTTCAATCGTCTGCACACGCAAGAGGTGAACAAGCGTCTAAACTCACAACACCTCTTCCGCCAGCCGGTTGGCCTCTGAGAGAGCCAGCCGAGGGGCGGCGACTCTCTCAGCGATGATGTACATAGTGAATTCCCCTGAACACACGCACACATTCGCAGCTCTTCTCCCGCTCAAGTGCGCACGTCAGGGCATTTTCCTGGGTTGAGAGCATCCCATCATGAGGGAATCAAATGATTGAGCGCGTGCTGCCGCCGTTTCCGTGTATTTTCCCATGGCACAACACAGAAATGGAGGTTTTCCGCACACCAATTTGCCCCTTACATGCCATTCAATTCTGCAGAGAATTCTAAATCAACACTCTGAGCAACATAATTAATAAATCTTATTCACCATGCAGAAGCATCTGGTGCGCGAAAGAAGAAGTGGATTTGAAAATATGCGCCCATTTGCGACATCGCGTCCGGATGTAGTTTGAGGCTTAGGGGAAGATTTCCAATCAGTGGACACAATTATCGCTGTGGCATGAAAATGGAATTGAGTCGGAGGAAATGACGGCAGAATTCCACTTACTGGTTAGAACAATTACTCACCCCAAGCCATCCGCAAACCGGACGCTCCAAGATCCATTGGCTGGGGTGGTTTGTGGAGCGGGAAATCCATTCGACAAACACCCACCTCCCGAGGGAGTCCGTAACAAGATAATAGAGCTTATATTCACCCCATCAGAGGAAATAAAGATGGGAGATCTGGGCACGAGAGTGAGGAGAGGCGCGAGTCTCCCTCGGCTGACAGCACAGATTGACACAGTGTCACCTGAAGTGGGCGGGGCCTCAGCTTCTGGGCTGGAACCTCACCGTCACTCTCGCCGGAGTTCATCTCGCGCCGACCAATTGCCTCTCTGTCGGCTCATCCCCACCACCAGCGCCGCTCGCGCTCTCCGCGAGAGAGAGAGAGCGAGCGACTGTGGATGCCATAATGCCTCGTGGAGTCTTCTTTTTGTCCCCAACGACAAAATCCAAGCGTGTGCGGAGCGCCAAGTGGGTGAGGCTCCAGGTGAATGAGAAATTACGTGAGTGTTGTTTTTGGCAGCATTTCCGCTGAATTAACTTCTCCGCAATGTTGGTTAATTATTAATACAAGTACAATTATTGCAAATTAATCACCCAATTACGCGCCGGAACTTCCACACAAACTTGCGTGGCGGAGAGTTCCTAACCCCCTGGTTTTTCCAATCAATTTGCCAGAGAGACGAGATGATTTCTACCACTTCTTTTCCTCACATTACAATCACCATAAACCTTTCAGCACCACACACTGCAACATCATATCCAATATTGTATTATAAGCTTAATCTTCCAATTAGTGGTAACCCGCTGTGACAATATTTTCCACATCAAAAGAAACTCTGGCACATCGCAGGGAATATTGTTGTCAGGCCACCAAATTTCACTCACTGAAACATACAAAATGTCCACCAGTCGTTTGCATTTGATCCTGTCTCTCCGGCTTCCAAGGGTGGGCAATTGGAATGAAAATTGGATGAGAAGATTGGGAATGGGAACGATAAGACATGTTATTGAATGTAATCGTCATTTAATAAAACAATTCCTCCGGTCAAATTGACCACAACAACTGATATTTTGGATAAATTGAGGTGATTCCACACATGAAATGCCTCTGGAAATGCAAACTACCCTCTCTCTCTCTCTCTCTTTCCCAGCAATTTTCATTCGACTGCGAGTGTTGTTGGGAAAACTCTTTCATCTTCTTTGACGATATTTTTTCCACGCTTGCACATGAGAATTTATCAGATTAGAACGTTATTCGATTGTTCTCGGAATAAGTGAAAAATGGGGTAGTTTTAGCCAGACCGTTTCTGAACTGGTTTTTCGCAAATCAATTTCATATGTAGTTTTTTTTATGGCTATCAAAATATACAAATTTGATTAAATAAACCGACAAAATATTTGTTAATCTAACTAAAAACACAACGCGTGATATTTTATCGTGATTACCAGAAATTAAAGCACAATAACGCAAACAATGATTATTTTGCACTAGCAACAGAGCTATATCTATATGCTCACAAGATCAAGAGATAAAGTTTCTTTGTCACGCTGAAAGTCAAGGAAGCCCCAGCTTGAGGAACTTAATTGGAAATCTCCATGGAGTGGAGAAGTTTGATAGTTTTATTCCGTCAAATAATGGGGTTTTAATTAAATTTGCAAATTAAACCCACAGGAGAAGGACATGGACAATGAAATTAGACCCTTCTTCTGATATTAATCAATTTATCAAGCCCATCCACCCGAATTCACGCATATTAATTCATCCTCTGTCAGTCTCTTCCACCCACACTTGCACAAATGAGGGGGGAAAATCGTCACTGAAAGTTGCCAAAATCAATATCGTCGCGCAACCACCAAACTGATTGCCACTTCCATTATTTGATGATGAAGGACTAATGAGTAAATTGATTTGAATTTCAATTTACTCATTCACCAGCACTTCATAGTTTATTTCAATTATTTCTCATTTTATTTTCTCTGCAATGGAGACGCCTGGTGAAAGCTCTCACGTCACAACGTCAAGCTCCCAGGAAAATATGTAACAATATTATCTGTCTAAATTGTGCTTTTTCCTCAGCTTCGCAGAAATTCAATTTGAAAGTCATTTGAAAAGATTGGGAAGAGAGAGAAAATTCCAAAATATTATCACATTGTTTGCCAATTTATTTTGAAATTTCCTCTCATTATCCACCCAACCGCCCACTTTTTCCAGGGAAGCTCCGCATCAAATTGCTGGCGCAGTTTTTCCTCTGTTTCTTTCACACCTGAGTATAATCGTGCTTTTGGTGAAATTTAATTTTCCCAGCATCGTGCAAGTTAAATTGATGGAAAATTAATTTCACGACTGATTCCTAGTTAGGAAATCAACTTTCTGCCATCCTCCCGCCCACACACGTTTTTGGGACCTTTTTAAATGCTCTGCTGCTGTGTAAATTAATTTTTATGTTGAACTTTTCGTCAGTCAGAGGCGTAGTTTTAGCTAGAAAATTCCATTTTAGCATTTATGGCATCAAGAAGGCGAAATATCAAGACTAGACCAATTAATTTTAAGATCAAGATTTTATCTGATAACCAGAGACTTTTATCTTGAAATCTTGTTTTTGGTTGGTGTCTTGGATATCAAGATTTAACCATCAAGTTTCAATTCTTCGGCCATCATTACTTATTTCTATCCCAACACAGCCTCTGCTCTTTGTAGCTCAGACTTCCACAGTTTGTTTGCAGGGAAAACGCCGATGTTCCTGCAGTCAATCCTTCGTCATCACCCCGCTTTTGGTCCGCCATGGCTCATCCCTCGACTGAGGGTGGCGCAGAGCGCTCGAGTGAACTTTTAATAAAGTCCTGTGGGGTGGAACGTGCGTCACCCCATGAAGCTCCCTCACGGGATTGATGTTGGTCACATTTATGGGAAGTGCCACTGACAAATATTCACTCTCGCAAGGGTTGTCCCGAATGCTTCCCCAACTCAACACAGCGCGAGTGAGAGAGAGAGGAAAAGTGCCGGCGGGCACAAACAAAAGGTTTGGGGTGTTTTGATAAATACAAATTTGAAATTACGTTTCAATTTGCTCGCAAAACCTTTCATCGGAGTTTCGAGTTCATATTTGGTTTTATCCATTTAACCCATGCGACCGAGAGTGTTTCTGCAGGGCGATTTCATTGAATTGAATGAGGGGATTGAGGCAGATTTCCATTATACTTCTCTTCTGCATTAGGCCTAATCTCGAGTATTTTTGCACACCTTAATTCAATATAATTTCACACATTTCGAGATGGCACCCTGCCGATAAAATGATCTACTTCTCTCCACCTTGAAACACCATTTGTTTCGCCCGTATTTTGCCCAAAACAGCCCACAAATAATGGGCTCCCGAGGAGAATGCTCTTTTCACTCGCATCAGCTTTATCCCTTCGGCTCTCTTGTCATGCTTTTGGGAGGCTGGATCCAGAGTGTCTGCCATTGTTGCCACTGAATGGATAATTGAGAAAGTGGGCGCTTCCTTGTGGTGTATTTTGCAATAACCTAATCTCCCAGCAGAGATTCTCCGCACATAATCTGGGCCTCATGTTTGCCACATTCTCCGGAAGAATTGTATCTCAGATCTCATTGGTGATTCTCAGGAAATACAGAGATAGAGAGGCATTGACAAATGGACCAATTTGCGGAGTAAATTAAGCCGATAAACAGCTGGAGAATTATCCCTACGCCACTGTTTTGTGTATGTGTGCATTTTCCCCATTTTATTTATGTATACGCAAATTAATGAGCAGAAAACACCTTGCAAATCACACATTTCTTTTCATCTCCTCTGCGCTCGTCAAGATGAAATGTAATTTGCTCGGAAAATTTAATATTGTCTCAAATGTAATATTCTTCCTAAAGAAGAGTCCTTTTTTTAGGATGCATTGGGTGTAAAATGTGCCACATTGCCCGAAGCGATGAGAGAAAAATTGTGATTTGCAGCATTTAACAAAGGAAAAAGGAGACTATCCTGAGGGCAACACAAGTCCTGATTGCATTTACCCATGATGTGTGTATTACACGCAAAATCGAATTATTTATCAATCTCTCCGAGCGGAACTCATGCCGAGATTCTGTGCGTGTGTTTTGTATCGAATTATGCAATCAAATGCCAACTTGTAATTACTTCCATCAAATTACACAGATGCTGCGATGTGAACCCGTGAGTCCTGCTGCTGACAGCGGGAGCCTCCATCCCAGATCATCCTCGAGGATCCAGTGCGCGCCCCGCGGCTTCTGCAGTGCGTGAGGCGAAATGCGCCAAAATGGAGAACCAATTTCGGTGAATTCAGGCTGAAAGATGTGTACCGGAAGATAAGATTTTTATTGAGTTACTTAACTCCACTCAATGCTTCATCAGTGACTCTCTCCAATCGATGTGCGCTGCGATAGTATTCAAGCAGAGGCGCCCCTTTC